GCCTCTTTGCTTAGCACCGGCCCCTGCCCTCACGCTCACTGGTACCGCTACAGCAGGACGGGCCATGGCGGGTCGGGGAGGTGCAGCACGACCCAATGGACCAGCTGCTGGGAACAAGATCTGTCAATTTAAGCTGGTCCTGCTGGGGGAGTCTGCAGTAGGCAAATCCAGCCTTGTCCTCCGCTTTGTCAAGGGACAATTCCACGAGTACCAGGAGAGCACAATTGGAGGTGAGTGGTCGCAAGGGAGCAGGGGTGGCTGCAGGAGGGCCAAAGAGATGCCTTGGCCGTGAGGAGAAGGAAGCTGCCTGCCCAGAGAGACTAAACACACCTGGGGGAGGGGGCAGCACCTTTCCTCATCTGGGTCCTGAAACAAATTCCAACAGCTGGTCTCCATGCCAAAGTCCCAAGAAGCTTCTAGTGAGAATTAGCTGGGAGTCAAAACTGACTTCCTCTCCTGGTTCTGCCTCTTTATTATTTGTGTGGCTTTGGCGATGACCCTTCCACAGACCCAGCCTCTGGGAAGGGAGAGGCTGAGTCTGGATTCTTGTGGGTTCTTCTTACTTTGCCAGGCCGTGCATCTGCCCTGGCCTCTCCCACTTTCCAAAATGGGGAAATGGCCTGGTGAGTGGCTGGCATTTCTGAAGCTGACCTTTACTCTTTCTTGAGTGAAGAGCCTCTTTGATTTCCCAGTGGTCAGCATTTAGGTTTAAAGGTCTGAACTCAGCCTCTTGCCTTGTAGCCAGTACAAACCTTGAGGGGCCAGGGCCGACCTTGGGCTTGAGTCATCTTTTCTCTACCCTCTTGGTTGGTAGGAGGTTTCCAGGCAGCTGGAAACAAAATGGGCCGTGTCAGCAGTCTTCTGCTGCCTCCTCAGCACTCGAGTCAGGAGCCGGAGAGGGGAAGTGGGGTGATGCCCCGTGTCTTCAGAGAGTCGGGGGCGGGGAGGCAGACAGGAGAGCAGGCTTTAAAAAAACAGAGTCCTCTGGGATCCTCTGATGGGTCCCGGGGCCAAGGGGACTCCCACCTGCCTGTCCCAGCTCTGGGACTTCCCCTTGAAGCATATACACAAGTGCTGCATGTTCCCCTGCCTCCTCAGGACAAAGATAGGGTCAGGTGTTACCTGACGGTCAAGCCACACGGTGGTCAATCAAGAGTGGGTCAGGGTCAGAGCTGGGGGTTGTGGCTAGCCCAGTGCACCTGGGTGGCAGGGCGGTTAGGAAGCTGGCCACCCAGCCTCCTCCGGGCAGGGGAACAGCGTGTACTTTCAGGCGTCCCCAGCACAGCTAAGTGTGTAAGTGTCCTCAGGAAACAGAAGGCCAGTGACACCCCTGGGCTGGAGCAAACAGGGACTCGGGAGGTTTCCAGCTGGACTGTTCTCTCTGAGGGGAGGGAGGAGGAGGAAGGAGGCGGGTGGGCCTGGCCCACCCTGCTGAGCTTAGAGTCCGGTTTCCCCTGGGCTTCTCGTCTCCTGCCCCCTGTATTCCTCTTCAGAGAGCGATCCTGAAATGGCGAGGTGCAAGCAGGCTTTCCTTCTCCTGCCCTTGCCCAGTGTGGTCTCTAAAGCCTGTACATTCTGCAGCCCCCTCGGCACATGTACGAAAAGACAAACTCCGCCTGTCCTCGCAGGCTGCTTTTCTGTGCCCAGCTCAGCAGAAGGCTTCTGAGTGCCAGAACCCCGGCTGCAACAGTGGAGCTATATGGGGATGGCTTCCCAGCTCCTCCTTGCCTGGTAACACCACCTTCCCTCTTACAGCGGCCTTCCTCACACAGACTGTCTGCTTGGACGACACAACAGTCAAGTTTGAGATCTGGGACACAGCTGGACAGGAGCGGTATCACAGCCTTGCCCCCATGTACTACCGGGGGGCCCAGGCTGCCATCGTGGTCTATGACATCACCAACACAGTAAAGATTTTTCCCTTACTTCTCGATCCTTGTTTCTGGACGGGGTCTGGGCAGATTTCCTCGGTGGTTTGGGGTGTCCCGCCAGAGTCTTCAGGCTGGTGACCTTGTAGACACCTGGCCCTGCCATCCGGAGCTTCTCTAGTGCGTGGCCTGGGCAGAACGCCTCCTCCGTCCCTTTGACATTCCGGCCCTGTTTCCCCAGGATACGTTTGCGCGGGCCAAGAACTGGGTGAAGGAGTTACAGAGGCAGGCCAGTCCCAACATCGTCATCGCCCTGGCGGGGAACAAGGCAGACCTGGCCAACAAGAGAGCCGTGGAATTCCAGGTGTGGGGGATGGACAGGCCGGGGGAGGAGTGAGCCAGCTGCATGGCTTTCCCCAGGCTACTCGGGTTTCAGGAAGGGTGACATTGGGAGGCAGCCGGGCGCTTTTATCTGCTGTCCTCTGTGACTCGAGCCTGGGCTGAAAGGAATCGCCTCTCCTTGTTTCTTGGCGGTAGGGTATGTGTGCATATGGATAGCTAAAGTGTCTGCTTATTTTTCTGTAAACTTTTAAGTGAAATTTACTGTAAAAGAAATACTTTTTTCACGTAATTCATGCACATAGTGAAATTTAAATAGTACAAGAAGGTATATAGAACTAAATTTAAGTCTCTAACCTAGAAACTCAGTCTCCCTTCCCCCAAGTTCCTCAGTTTCTGGTCTTTCCAGAAATATGCACAATGTGTGTAAATCCCTTTTTACATAGATGGGGATGTGTTTTACATACTGTATATTTAATTTTTTTACCAGTCCCAAACTTAAGGTTGTTTGTAATAGCAAAAGACTGGAAACAATGCTGTCAATATGTACATACTTCTGTGCTTTGTGGTTTTTTTTAATGTATTTTTATTGATTTCAGAGAGGAAGGGAAAGGGAGAGATAGAAACATCAATGATGAGAGAGAATCATTGGCTGCCTCCTGCACTGGGTATCGAGCCCGCAACCCAGGCATGTGCCCTGACTGGGAATCGAACCGTGTCCTCCTGATTCATGGGTGGACGCTCAACCACTGAGCCACGCCGGCTGGGCCATACTTCTTTGTTTTTGTTCAAATGTGCAACTGTATTTGTAGGGTAACTTTCTAGAAGTATTTCCTAGCCTAGTGATTTTAAAGAGCGAGAAGGTAGAATGGGCAGAGGGACACCTGATGAAACATCGGCCGATGTTTGTGAGCTAAGAGGTGCTGTATCTGAAGTGGGGAACAGGGTGTATGGTGCCCATGTCTCAGAGGAACCCAGAGTGGAAGGCTACAGGCCTGAAAACCCTGCATTGTCTCTATTGTGTACAAGGCACTGTAACCAGGGAAGATTTTTTATTCTGGGCCCCAGCCCCTGCCAACTCAACATCCTCAACATTTTCCTCCCGCCCACTTTCTCACCTCCATCCAAATCAGGAAGCACAAGCCTATGCAGACGACAACAGTTTGCTGTTCATGGAGACATCAGCAAAGACAGCAATGAATGTGAATGAAATTTTCATGGCAATAGGTAAGGTGCCTCTCCTCTCCTTCTCTCATTGAGTTAGAGCACTGGGCTGCTGTTCTGTAGTATGTCTGTGGAGTCTCTTCACTGATAGATCTTCCGCTATTTTCAATATTCTGATAAAATCTTTTTCTTTTTCATCTAACTCAGATATAGATAGTTCATCCCAGAAGTTTCTAAAACTTGGACTAAAGTCTCAACATTTCACTTCCTTACTGTTAAGCTTACCACCCACCTGAAACCCGGTATCACTCTTCTACCCACTACTTAGGATTTTTTAGCCCATTTAGCTCTGAAGTCAACCTGCTTGGTTCAAGTTCTAGCTCTTCCACTGAGAACTCTGGTCTTAAGCAAGTCACTTAACCTCTCTTTGCCTCAGTTTCCTGGAACACTCAGCATGTACCTGACACATAGAAGTGAAACCCTCAGTATGCCGGATTCTGCTCAAGTGGACTTGGGAGACAGTGTTAGAGGACCCCCACAAACACATTTTTCCTTCTCTCCCAAACAGCTAAGAAGCTCCCCAAGAATGAGCCCCAGAATGCAGCTGGTGCTCCGGGCCGGAACCGAGGTGTGGACCTCCAGGAGAACAACCCCGCCAGCCGGAGCCAGTGCTGCAGCAACTGAGCCCCCCTTGCCTGCCCACCGACCCCACCTCCTCCGCCTGAACAACCTGACTGGAATCCATTCTAACCAATCGCACTTAACTACTCGGGCCACCATGGGGGGAGGGGGCAGGGGGAGGGGGTCCACCATGATTTCTCCATATAATTTTGTTCATAGGCCGGAGTGAGTTATTCCACCTGCACCTTTCTGTAAAAATACTAATTCAATTTTAAGTCTTAAGTCACTTTTTTAATATATATGATCTCTTCCCACTACCTGCCCTTTCTGCTGTTCTCCCACTCTCCCTGCGTAACCACATGCTCCTGTTTCCCCCGCCCTTATATATGGGGAGGCAGGGGTTGGAGCAGTAACCCTTTTTCCTCTTGCTGATTAATCGGGCTCAGCAAGAGCATCCATATCCTTACTGTTTGGCGTGTGCTTGGTTCTGGGCCATGGGGCAGGCCCTAGGGGCTAGGGAAGGGAGAGACAGCTCTTCCCTTAGCTGGCTGGCTAGCATCAGGCTGCCGTCCCCCCTCACCCCTGACACACAGCTGGGAGAGAAACCACAGCATTATTGTGACAGCCACGAACCCATTGCCCACAGCCCACCCCATCCCCCTCATCCTTGGTCACCCTGACCTCTGGCTCTGAGCCCTGTTCTGACCAAATCACGATGATGAGTATTTGGGGGTGGGTGGGTAAGGGGGGAGTGGGCGGGAATGGAACCAACTTTTTCTGTATTTTGTATTGTATGTTTTCTTCAACATGTAACCAATCAGTATCTTGTCAATATAGTCAGCCAATGGATTGACCTCCTGCTTGTCTTGTCTTTCTCTGGCAGAATTTATCAGACTACATCCTCTCTAGCTTACTTGAAGTTAATTTAAAATGGACCACTGAATCTTGTTAAACAAAAGCTGCCCCCTCACTCCAAGCGAGGGGGTACTGGTGTCTTGGTAGCCAAGAAAAAGAGGCCCTTACTGTTACCAGTACTAATGGCATGGGAGTGAAGAGTGACCTGGAACTGAATCTCATCAAGTTTGAAGTTGCGGGTCCTGCATTTTCCTCTCCCTGACCACCTCTAGAATGTATTGGGGTGATTGTGCAGTTTAGATTTGAAAATATTTGGTCTCAAATCAAAACAACATACACACACACAAAAAAACACAAAAGAAAACAAACAAAAATAGTTGGTCTCTGAAACACCAGAAACAAGCTCTTTGGGGTTTGGGGTTAATCTGTATCAGGACCGAGGGCCTGGGTCCTCTACCCTCTTCCCTGAAGAGTAACACCAATGACCTGGAACTTTGGACTGATTGTAAGGCCGAGACAAGAGCCTCACACCAGGTCCAAGCCATCCGGTCCGTGGTCTCTAGTAGGCCCCCTGCTGGTTCTGGAACTAGGGGACGCTTGGGCCCTGCTGGCTCTCTGCTGCCCCCTGCTGGCGCTGCTGCTCTCAGCCCCAGCTATCGGTCCAAACAGAGCCGGGCTGAGTCGGACCACACCGCACCCCCCATCTCCCAGCTTCTCCCAGCACCACCACTTTGAGGTGCCTTTCTGGCCTTCCCCTACCTTCATCAAACCTCCACCTCTGACCCCAACCCCAAGAACAGACCACGGACACGAAGGCGGCTGCTCACTCTGGCGGTTGTTTATTGGGTCAGGCTAAGTTGGAACCCTTAGAGCGGTGACTCTTGAGTTTCGAGGAGTGTCCTGTTTGGGCTTCAGCGGAAGGCAGCGCCCCGCACTGGCCTCGGATACACAGCTGGCCCGAGGGTGTTAAGCAGCAGGTCATGCCGGCGGGATCCAGGTTCGGTGGTAGTAGCATTTGGCGGCGCATCTTCTGCGCCATGCGGTAGCCGCTCCCATCTGAGCCGTAGCGCTCCTTTTGCCGCTGGCCCGTCACCGTCAGGCACTGGCCGTCCACTTGCACCACCAGCTCCTCCGGGTTAAAGCCCTGGGCATCCATCTTCATCTTGAAACCGTTCTCCACGTGGACATTGCTCCGCACAGCTGACACATCGTCCCCGAGCCGCTGCACCGGCAGCGTGGCCACCTGGTTCTTCTGCCCAGTGCGGGCTGTGCTGGAAGACCGGGACGCCACCTGGCTCCCCTGGGGGAGACCGCTACCGACCCGCTGCATCCGAGTGAGCAACTGCTGTCCGAGGGCACGAGGCTCTGAGTCTAGCGGAGGCTCTGAGTCTAGCGCTCGGCGCTCGCGCAGGGGCGGGATCCAAGAGCGGAGGGTCCTCCTGCGCCCCACCCAGCTCCGCTCCTGCTCAGCAGCTCTGCTCTGTTCAGCCGGACGCCCTTCCCTTCTGCAGAGTCAGAGTTCAGGTTCAGCTGTGCACTTCCTACCTCCACGGTCAGGTTGTCATTCGCCCTGGCACGCCCGCTGCTGCTTTTATCCTGGATCCTTTCTTGGGCCCCTCCCCACCTCCGTCAGAGGGTCCAACTGGATATGATGAAGGAGGCCGGAACCATTACCAATGGACCCATTATCAGCGCAGGGTGGAGATGACATCGAGCCATCGGGACACCCCCTTCCCAGACTGGAGTGTGAACACAGGGTAATCCATTTTCCATTTTCGGGACGTCCTGCCTTTCTCTGACGAGGCACAATCCTGTGACACACTGGAGATTGGGAGGTGGACACATCATTCTGGCTTCCTCCATCCATCCTGGGCCTCCTGTGCTACAGGTGTGGGCTGGGCTCAGGGACCACAACGATTAAGATGCAGCCCTCAAGGTTCCCACGATGTTGAAGGAGAGCCGTTCCCAAACACAGGGGGAAACTCCCGCCCTCCTCGGCCTCTACTTCGTCCCCACCGTGGCAGCCTTGTCGTGGCCGCGACCGTGCCTCTGGTACTCACCACTTTTATAATAAACCCTTTTTATGGACGTATAACCGACATACAGAAAAGTGCACAAAAGGGTACAGTTGAATTATCCCAACAGGTCAAGAAATAGAACTGCTGCTGCTGAATCTCCGTAGCTGACGTTTGTCTCCGGAGACATGTGGGACAGGGACAGGGTAGGGATGGGAGGGAGACGTGCGGGCAGCCAACTCGACCTCAGTCCCCAGGCCTGCACTTCACCTGCGGGGCTTGGGAGGAGGGCAGAGCCCCCGAGTCCCCCCACCAGAACCCCAAGAGGACAGCGATCTTGACCGCCCTGGAAGCCTTCAAGAGAGAGGAACAGTGAGGAGGAATCCATCTGGGGTGCTGGTTCGGCCTCACTTGGCTGTCTGGGACCAAGAGACAGGATAGAAAAGTCTGGAAGGTGGAGGCGAAGGGAGCAGCGGTGGAAGACTACAACTCCCATCAAGCTCTGGGTCGGGGACGCCTGCGTACTGCGCGCCCGTTGCCCATGCGGCCCTAGGGCAGGGAGCGCCG